AATAAACAACTTAACAAGCCGACCAAATTTTTTTTTGCGCCCCCCCCCCCCCCCCCCCCCCCCCAAAAAAAAAAAAAAAAACCCCCCCCCCTTACCGCGCCCCCCCCCCCCACCACTCCCCCGCCCGCCTCTTCCTACCCGACTGCCTTCATGTGATGCTACTCCCTGCTCAACTTTTTTTTTAGTGATATAATATATATTGATTTATCATTGGTTGGCTTGAGGTGGCAGCTCTTGAGTGTACGTTGATACAATAACTACTCAACTAATAAATAGAGATTAGTTTGAAAACACTCAACTAATAAATAGAGATTAGTTTGAAAACACTCAACTAATAAATAGAGATTAGTTTGAAAACACTCAACTAATAAATAGAGATTAGTTTGAAAACACTCAACTAATATTCAAGTTAAGAAAAATGTAAAAAAAAAATGATTTCAAGTAAAAAAAAAAAAAAAAAAAAAAAAAAAAAAAAAAAAAAAAAAAAAAAAAAAAAAAAGTTGAAAGTTTTGTTTTTAAAAATAATTTTTAAGCCTATACATACACGCATGTTTTTTTTTTTTATTATTATTATTACGTTAATTCGGTTACGGTAGCAAATAAGATCAAACCAGTTGCGCTGTTTAAAAATAAAACCTTACGAATGTCGAATTTTTAAAAAAAATTTTTACGCTCTCCAAACTCTCAACCTGGCGCTACGTGGAAACCCAAGGAGGGGCGGGAGGAACGGGTCCAACACGCGCATGCACAGCTGGCACGTGTAGCTAAATTTACCGTGACACGAATGCAATGTGTGATGGTCTTTGGTACACGGGATAACAAACATGGAAACAGTCGGCGACATAAACCACTGACTTACTGAAAACTTGATTTTGATGTTGCCACCGGGGCTCACGTAGTTCATCCACCAGTTCCTATACGATGCCAGCTTGTTTGGTTTGTTTCTACGCTAAGAAGATGGTCGTAAATGAGGGATAGAAGAAGAGGAAGAAGAAGATGAAAAGAAAGAAGTTCTTCCTCGTGATGTTGTTGCTGCTGGCGATTGTTGTTTCTTTGATGTGGTTCTCGGAGTGGCGTTCGTTTCTGAGACCAGTTGGGTCATATGTAAGTAATAATATAATAATCGTTAAATCAACTTCGTCTATCTTGCAAACGATACGTCAGAGGCTGATCCTACAGTGCTGACTTTTCACCCTTTACATGTTAAATTAAGTTAGTTTTGTGCCAGGTAGTCAAGGAAGTTGTATGTTGTTGTTTTTTTTTTGGGGGGGATGGGGGTGGGGGAAGGTTTTTTTTTAATGGAGAATGATATTATGTTTTAAAACCAAAAACATGGGGTGAGGGTATGGTTGGGTAAGAGTTGAGGTCCATGACCGCACAAGAGCACAAATGTAGGCCCTTGTTCAAGTAACACATTATGAAGATCACGTTTGTTTATAAGAAATGAGCCCCCACTTAAGGTTGCCATGGATACAGCACAAACATAATTCTTAATGATTACTAACTAGACTGGAAACTTTTCTCACATTGGATTGAAACGTCAGCGTGGATTTGAAACCAACAAACAATAACCGCCTTTAGGGTTACCATGGACACGCGTCTAAGCGTTACTGTGGGTCATTATAAGTGATAACATGGATACACATACAAACATATTAGAGGTACCTTAAATACAAACCTTGGGACTTGGGTGAACTATGGATATAACAGGATTGGGTACACACTTTTGGGTTGCCATGGTCACACACTCTAAGGCTGGGCCATCCCCGCACCTTTGGATCCCCCACCCATTTTTTTTTGTTTTGCGCCCCCCCCCCCTTTTTTTTTTTCATTTTTCCATTCAAAGTTGATAGTTAACATATTTTTTTTTTCAACATCACACCATTGGGTCCCTCTCAGAGGCCCTGCAGCCCATGGAATGGAAGGGCACGCACACAATGGCTCTGTCTCTAGGGATGGCTAAGCTTTTTTTAAAATTGAAGACAATAAGAACCCATTACGCATCAACACAATGACAACGCCAAGCACGTTACAGTGGCAATGAAACACCTTTCGGACGCATGACAGAGCGTTACATATCTTACACAACGTAATTCACATCTCACACAACCTAATGCACACTCACACCACATACACGACCTAATACACCCTCACACCACACAGACACCCTACGTACCCTAATACCCCATCACAAAAACACCATACACAACATAACACGCCCCTCACACACCCTAATATTACATCAAACAAAAAACACCTTATACAACCTAAAAGACCCCTCACATGTCACAGACACCCAGAAAACAACATAGAACGCATTTCACACACCTTAATCCACCACTCCCAAACACCTCGTACACAATATAATACACCCCTCAGCCCACATAAACACCACACACACAATACACCTTACACATTATGCCGCACACCTTACTCTCCACTCTGACCCATGTATTTACAAACTGAAATTTTGATGACATTTTAAAGATGTGAGTAAATAATGTTTTTTTAAATGCCCCCCCCCCCAACTCACCAACCTAATTTCCAACGCCCAATACTTTCAGGTCATTTTGGTTGAAACCACGATACACGACTTGACCAAACTAAGTAAGACCGAACAATCTGTTCCACGTCTAGGATATAGCGTTGCCAATAGCCGTGCTGTAAGACCTGACAGGATATTGCCAGATACTCGCCACACAGGGTGAGTAGAGTCAGTTCCCTTTGTATGACCTATGACCTATGACCTTACAGCTAATGAAGATGGTGTTTAGCAATCCAGGGCGTTTTTGAGGGAATATATGCGGCTTTGTTTTTTCTTCTATCATACCATTCTATGACATGTGGGTCTCATACCATTCTATGACATGTGGGTCTCATACTATTCTATGACATGTGGGTCTCATACTATTCTATGACATGTGGGTCTCATACTATTCTATGACATGTGGGTCTCATACTATTCTATGACATGTGGGTCTCATACTATTCTATGACATGTGGGTCTCATACCATTCTATGACATGTGGGTCTCATACCATTCTATGACATGTGGGTCTCATACTATTCTATGACATGTGGGTCTCATACTATTCTATGACATGTGGATCTCATACTATTCTATGACATGTGGGTCTCATACTATTCTATGACATGTGGGTCTCATACTATTCTATGGCATGTGGGTCTCATACTATTTTCGTAACATATATCATTTCTCAAAAGTGTATTGATTGCTGGTTTAAGGCAAATAAAAATATTCTCAGTGCAGATATTTGAAATGCAGATAATTTAAAATGCAGATATGAAACAATGGGAAGCTAGAGACCCAAATCACATGACTGTCATTGTGATTCCATAAATAAGTTCATATAAAGCCTTTGTCCTCTCAGCTCAGAGGAAGTAGCAGCTAACCAGTTCAACCAAAGACAACGGAAAGCTTTTGGATTAAACAAACAAAACAACCCAAATGTGACCCAGTAAAAATTTGTTTAAAAGAGACTCTCCCTCTTTTTCGTTAGGCTTTTAACTTTTTGCCAAAAGCGATCATTTATACATTCTACCAGTGATGTTAAATGATGACCATCCCGGTCAACACATGTGAGGGTGTGTCCACCATCATGGTCAACACATGTGAGGGTGTGTCCACCATCATGGTCAACACATATGAGGGTGTGTCCACCATCATGGTCAACACATGTGAGGGTGTGTCCACCATCATGGTCAACACATGTGAGGGTGTGTCCACCATCATGGTCAACACATGTGAGGGTGTGTCCACCATCATGGTCAACACATGTGAAGGTGTGTCCACCATCATGGTCAACACATGTGAGGGTATGTCCACCATCATGGTCAACACATGTGAGGGTGTGTCCACCATCATGGTCAACACATGTGAGGGTGTGTCCACCATCATGGTCAACACATGTGAGGGTGTGTCCACCATCATGGTCAACAAATGTAAGGGCATGTCCACCATCATGGTCAACAAATGTAAAGGCGTGTCCACCATCACGGTCAAATGTAAAGGTGTGTCCACAATCATAGTCTATAAATGTGCAGGTCTGTCCACCAACATGGTCAACAAATGTAAAGGTGTGTCCACCATCATGGTCAAATGTAAAGGTGTATCCACAATCATAGTCTATAAATGTGCGGCTGTGTCCACCATCATGGTCAACACAATAGTGCTCAACAATGGTGGATCTGTCCACCTTTGTGGTCATTAATAGTGGGGGTAGGACCAGAAAGAAAGTAGATAGCATTTGGCCTACTTTATACTAAACCCTGAAAGGCTCCATGTTATTGTTGCTAACCAGCTTTTTATAATGAGTTTTAAATATAAGAGTATTAGTAAAGCCACCTTTGTTTATTAGGCTATTACGATATGATTTTTAGTAGTTTGATCAATTTATTTTTGTTTTCGAGGGTGGGGAGACATAACATTACTTATAATTACAAAATTAATCATTGAGAAAAAATCCCCCCCCCCCCACCCCATTTTCATGAAAAAAAATACCCCTTTCTATGCCACTGTTTCTGTGTAACGACACAGTGTACTGCAAAGGATCATTTCACCAACTTTGTCTCAAATCGAGTTTTTGTTTTCAATTTCTCTTGTTTTGAAACAGCTGCGGGTCTCCACACGAGAAGCTCGAGCATCTTCCTCCTACAAGTCTTGTGATAACCAGCAGTGCCACGGAGAGATCTACTTTTGCTAGGACTCTTGTCAGGTCAGTCAGCGCCCAATTTAAAATCAAACTAAATTTTGACGTAAACCATGGAAAAACGAAACAATTAAAAATTGTAGTTCACTAAACTTCAACTTCAATGATTTTATACACATTTTTTTTGAGGGGTGCAACTAGGGTAAAAGCTGCCTGGGCAGGCCAATATTTATGCCACTCTCTTCCATGAAAAGAAACCTCTGCAGCTGGCAGAAAATGCTGCCCCTCCCTAAAGAAAAAAATATGCAGCTTCTGTCATGCCACCCCCCCCCCCCCCCCCCCCCCCCCCCCACCCTTCATATGTCATTTCATTCTCTCATCCTATCCTCCCTTTCGATTTTTTCTCTGTTTCAAAAATGTAAGATTTAAAAATGGTAAACATTTCCATCCAACTGTTTTCACATGAGCTCTCTCATGTTCAGCACCTCGACAAAATTATGAAGAATAAAAATTGCATCCTGGGGCAGGCCACTACATTGCATCCCGCTTCCTATACCATTTCTTTTTCTCATTCTTTCTTCATCCTACCCTCCCATACAGATTTTTTCTCAGCGTCAAAGATGTAAACTTATATGATTTAAATTGTTAAACATATCCATCCACTTGTTTTCATATGAGCTCTCTAATGTTCAGCGCCTTGTCAAAAGCCAAGTCAGTGAGAATCTTTGATGTTGCCATTGTATTTGATGGATCCTATGATGGTGAGTTCTAAAGTAAACATAATTAAAATTAAATTGCTTATTAAAGGGGGCCATGTCTCAACAATGGAGAAGGGGTTAAACCTGTACTTAACTTCTCCTTTGCTTGCTATCAGTTTTTCTTTAATTGAGCCAGACATTAAAACCTATCCAATGAACATTTATTAAATTGGTTGTTTTATTATAAATTGTTGAAAGTAGGCAATAGACGTTTATTGTTGAAGTAATCAAATGATGCTAGAAATTATTGAGGTGATCAAATGATGCAAGAATATGTTGAGTTTTTTTAAATTGAATTAAATAGATGATGAAATAATTTTTTTGATGTAGTCAGATGCGATGCAGGAACTTGCAAATTTCGGGAGCTATTGCCTTAAACCTTGAGCATTGTTCAATAGGCTGCTATTAAAATCTATAATATTTCCCTGGATACTTATTTTGTTCTCACAGATTCAATTTCATATTATTTAATTGATTGAAATCAATTTCATATTATTTAATTGATTCAGTTTCATATTATGTAACTGATTCATTTCAATTTCATTTAATTGATTTAATTTAATTTTATTTAATTGATTTAATTTCATATTATTTAATTGCAACTTATAAAATGGATTGAGTTCACAAGTTAACAATCAAATTTTCAATCCCCCATTTTAGCTAAAATTGGTGAAATTTTGAGTGGCCTTCAAGGTGTCAGAATCATCATAAACCGGGATAGGAAAGGTAAACTGAGTCTTGTCTAATGAAAATCATATGTCTAAAAATAGCTAACCTTAAGTCTGATTAATTTTAATTCAATTTTAATGTGTCATAATCAGTTTAAAAATTATATTTAAAAATATTTTATGATTGTCAGGACAAAAAAAAAATAAAAATAACTTTTTTCTTTTTTGTAACGTCTAGGCAAATCTTTAAAATTGTTAGCATTAAAAAACAACATTTTTTTTTATAACATAAAAATTAAAATAATGATAGGAATCTTCTGAGTTGATAAAAAAAGTTAAAGATTTTTTATTCTAGGCAGAGCAATGGCAAGAATGCAAGGTATTGCAGCAACAAAAGGGGAGATTATCGTTCTGATTGAAGATCTATCAGAAATGAATATGGACTGGTTATCCCCCCTGATTTTGCGTTTGATGGAGGTAGGCAGTCTAATGTTTGGCATATGATGAGGGAATCGTGTCCTCAAGGACATTCATTGGATAAAATCAGGAACTGTGTAAAAGCATTTGCATTCCACATTGCCTCTTAGAGTATGGCAGTTTAAAAACAGGGTTACTTTGGGAACAGTTGTTTACCAAAATAGACTTCACAATAAACCAGGTACTGGAAAGTCATATACCTTTAAAAAAACCTTGATAAATATAGCCAAAAATCAAATGGAAGAGCTGCAGAGACCCTTTAATATCTTCCTTTTTTACATGCATGATGTTCACATCTGATGCAAAGGGTTTTAATTTTAAAATGATTTATGAGATTATAATATATGTATGTTCTCAGTGGTATGTAAAATATTCGCCATTAAAACTATCATGATTTGTTAAAATTTTCATTATATGAAAATATTTATTTACCATTGATATACATTTTTAAAACTCACTTTTTTTTTCTTTTTTTTTTCAAAGAGCCCCAAAAGCCTTGTCACCCCAGTGTATGATGTTGTAGATCATCTGACCTTTCAATATTCATCTCTTCCAGAGCTATACAGAGTAGGTGAGTAAGCATTTTAATTTTCATTTAGATTTAATTTTTTTTCACCATCTGAAATTCATCCAAACACACTACGTCTGCTTCTATGCTATGGTTGTAAATGATACTTTTAAGGATTAAAATAAACTTGACTTCTTTATTGTATCACATGTATCAAATTGCTTCTTTCATCTTTCTTTAATGTTTAATTCAAAGAACAGTAGTGAATTCTAATACTTATAACTAATAAAATTAGCTTAAAATAAATTGATGAAATGGTATAATGACCATACTCTTTGTAAATAGGCTTTTGGATGTGCACTAGGTCCAGTTTCATGTATGATTTAAAAAAAAATATGAAGAAAAATGGAAATAATTGGCTGTTAAAAATAAGGGGTATTTGGAGAGCTGTTCAAAATTTTAAAAAATATTGATGCATTAATTTTTAAAAATATGAATAACTAACCATTTTATGCAGTGAAAATTACTATAATAATATGTGTTATGAGCTGGTGTGGCAGAATGATTATGTTTGTGTATGAAACAGTTGTTCTTTGTGATTGGTCGGGTTATGTGAGGGCCAGTTGTGATTGGTCGTGTTATGTGAGGGCCAGTTGGGATTGGTTGGGTTATATGAGGGCCAGTTGAGATTTGTCCGGTTATGTGAGGGTCAGCTGTGATTGGTCGAGCTATGTGAGGGCCAGTTGTGATTGGTCAGGTTATGAAAGGTAAAAAAAGTGAGGTGTTTAAAGGCTGTGTGAATATAGGGTGCATGTTAATGTTAGTTATTATTGTAGTGTGAAAAGTGCAAGTCTTAGTTTGTCAGTGTCGAGATTTGTCTTAGTGCAAGTGGAGTCTTTCACTACTGATTTGAAGACTTATCTATTTCGCAAACACCTGCTGAGGTTATGTTGTCTATCTAGCTATTATCTTGAAGATGTATATTGGCCTTTGTTGTTTATGGTTGCAAGGTATGAAAGACTTAGAATAGGTGTTCTCGTATGTAGTTTTTGTAATGTTGCATTTTGCACTTCAATGTGGTATGTACCGCACTTCGAGCCTTTGGGGATGAAGCGTGATTTTCAAATAATCTTTATTATCATTATTATAAGTGCAAATGTACTGTGAAAGTTATAGAGGACATTTTGTGAACTTGTTATCCAGTGTGGCCTTGCAAAAATAGAACTTAAGTATTCTAGCCTGTTATTTTTTTGTGTGTGCTTGTTATCATCCATTGTGGATGGATGTATACCCCAGAATAATGTTGTTCATCTAGACAATAGATCCTTGCAAACTGCCCATTCAGTAGGAAGTTCTTAACATCATCAAAATTAATTAATCAATTTCGGTTAAATAAATTTAAAAAATTGTCACAGATGTGATTATAAAAAATGTTTGAATTTTTCATTAAAAAGTTCAGTCTTTATTAAGGATTTGACTGGAGTTTGCAATACCGTTGGGAAGGGGTGCCATTCTCTTACCAAGTCAGACCAGATCCCACTTCCATATTCAGGTACAGTTGGAAAGCTAATGAACCACTTTAGTTTTACAATGTATGGTATATTCCATCTTATATTTACCTCAATAATCAACTTTCTTAGCATTTTATTTTAAAGCCATGTCACTGGCCTTTTTAAAAATTCAAGATGCAATTTTATTTTTAAAAATTATTTGATAAATATTTAGCTAAGAAATTTTGCACCATCAATCTTTTAAGACAAAAGTCCTTAAAATTCAGATTTTTTTTAGTAAACAAGGGCTGGAAGGGGTGGGGGGGTGGGGGGGAGATGTAATTAATTAATCAGGGTAAATTTTAAAAAAAAATAATAATTTTTTTTCATAAAGAAAATAATTAATGTTCATGGAAAGTTTAACAAAAAGTTTTAAAATAAAAAAAAAATTATGTTGCCATCCTAATTTTTGGTAATGCTGTGTCAATAGAATCTTAAATAACAATGGTATTCTATAATAGATCTCCTGTGACAACTGGCAGTGTGATTGCCATGAGGCGGGATTTCTTCACCTGGCTTGGTCAGTACGACACAACCACTTGGGCCAGAGATCTGGAAGATATGGGTATAACTTTTATTCCACCTGTAGCCTTAAATATTTATTTTGACTATTGATCAATTTGACATTCAAGCAGTACATTGTAGTAAACACACTACAACTCTTTGCCTTAGTAAATTCTAACTTTCTTGTTTCCATAGATCTCTCACTCCGAGCATGGTTATGTGGAGGACAGGTGGAGATTATCCCCTGTAGTCGAGTTGGTATTATCAACATCAAAGGTGGGGAGTTGGGAATCAGCCCTGTCTCATTTAATAATTATTTAAGGTAATTGGAAAAAATATTTATACATATTTAACAGTCAATCAGAACGCTATCAGTGTTTAGCTCCCCTTTAAATTTTTCACATTAATTATTTAACAAATAATTCTCTAAGTTCTATAATAATTCTTACGCTTTCATCTACAAACTCATAATTTTTATTGATATTTTATAATCATTTATTTGTCTTAATTTCCATAGATTAAACATTTGTTTAGTTATTGCATGCAGTGGTAAAATATGCAAAATAATATACCATATCAATTACTTCACAAAATAATTCAATTAATGCTTTTCAGGAGTGCTAGGCGTATAGCTGAGATTTGGTTGGATGACTATAAGAGATTTTTTTATGCTGTACGACCGTCAGCAAGGATGCAGCCTATTGCTGAGTAAGTTTTTTCTTTAAATAAAATCAATTTGTTTTACAGCAGAGAGTCATAAATTATGATAAATGTTCTAGAGACAGCTCCTAAAGCAATATGCTCTTTTTGGGTGACAGATCATAAACTTATATTTAACTTTCTTTTTAAAGTCAATTACACTTTTATTAAAGAATCCTGTCTCATGTGTATTTTGTCTGTTTCTATTAAAGCATCAGCATCCTGAGAAAGCTGAAAGAGAAACTCAAATGCAGGAGTTTTAAATGGTACCTTACCAGTATTTATCCACAATTACAGTAAGTGAAGATTCATGTTTTTATTATAAATATGAACTTTAAAAATTTTTTTAAAAAAGTATATGTACTCTATTTGAGAAAAAGTAATTATATTATGACTTATCCCTTGCTTGAGGTTAGAATCCACTGGAAATCCCAATCCAAAAAACTTTCCGACATAATTAAACCAGGGCTTGGAATAACCACAAAGTTCCAATTCATTTTACCAGAGCTAACTGAAAATATTGTTTTTAACCAAGTCATAAATTCCATTTTGTATTCACAGTCCCTCTGAGAAAAAACCTTAAGGGGGTTTGAGCCCCCAATATCTCTTTTACAATGTTAATCTTCAGACAAAGTTGTAATTAAACTGCTTTATGTATAAATTACTACTAATATTGTTGCTACCAATTTCATTAGACCATTAGTGTCAGATGAGGTGGCATTTGGTTACATTAGGCAGGGAGCGAACTGCCTGGACATTGATCCAGGTCAGCTCCCCTTGGTGGCAAAACTTAGAACCTGTGAACCAGGAAAAGATTCCCAGGTAGGATAAATTATTTTTCCCTTTTTGGGCTGTACTGCAGGGGATTTTTTTTTTTTTTAAATCTTTTAATATTTATCAAACCTTTTCTTGTAATTTAACCAACGTAGCAATTACTGCTTACATAATTAATTCACTCTTAACTTTAATTTAGTTATAATAATAAATGAACTGAGTGATAACATTTGTTTTACTGTTTGGACATTCACAATGTGAATACGGTATGATTATTACAATCTGTATTGTCAGGAGTGGTCTTGGAGAAAAACAGGATCCATCGTGTCCAATGGAATGTGTCTGACATCAGATCTCATGAACATGCAGCGTTTTGTTGTTGTTCAATTTTGCAAAGATATGAGGAATCAGGTATCATTCATCTGTCATCTGAGAATTTTAATACATAGTTACCTACTTGTGTTTGTGATTTGAAGTACTGAAATGTGATACTTTTAAATATGAAACTTCATGTTAAGTCAGGTAATTAAAAAGTAGAACTTTTTTTTAAGAATTTATGCTTTAAAAAAATTATTAAGGTTTTTTTTACAAACATAAATACATTTATAATATATGTTCCATCCCATAGGCTTGGTATCGACACAATGAAAAGATTGTTCACTTGGATACTAACCTTTGTTTAGATGGTCAGCAAGGGGACACTGGACTGTTGATTGCTGATTGTATTAAGGCTGACCTGAGCCAAGCCTGGGCCATTACTAATGAAGCCCAGACAGAGTTGGAATACTTTAACTCAGACACAGCAAACCTGTAGCCATTATATTTATATTTCCAATTAATCATGATGATTAGAGGAATTGGCTGATGCTTACAAGTACCCACTTTTTTGTTATATAAGTGATCAATGGAATTTAATCAATTTAATGTTTTGTAATTGTAAGATCAAGATTTCTGAGATGATTTTAAAATATTTTTGAATGGGGCCAGAATTGAAGTTGAACTTATTTTCTCCAACCCACCTAATGGAATATGGGCAATTTAACCTGCTGACTTAATAATTACAGGGTTAAATATAGATAAATGTCCTGGATAGTTGAAGTAATCATGCTTATGAATTAACAAGACCATTTGTATTTGTGCTTTGCTTTATTATTTAAACAACACTGTTGGACTCTGCAAACCCCTTGTTCAAATTTCATCTCTGTTGCATTCCCTAAAGATTTGAAGAGTTAATGTGCTTACCCAAAATATGTCAACAAAAATAAATCAACCACTTCAATTTAAAATATGTTTACACATATAGGGAAAAGCTGACTTATGAGCAATAGAGGGTAAAGCTGACTTATGAGCAATAGAGGGAAAAGCTGACTTATGAGCAATAGAGGGAAAAGCTGACTTATGAGCAAGAGGGAAAAGCTGACTTATGAGCAATAGAGGGAAAAGCTGACTTATGAGCAATAGCATAAAGCCAAATTATTAAATAAAAAAAGGGATTTAAATGAATTTCACATTTCTGGTCTAGTATTTTACTCCACACCATAGATAAAAAGGTCAGGAGGATGGGGACATCTTTAAAACCCCAGGGTTTTGTTGGTGTAAGGCCTTTTGAAGCTTTTTCAAAAGTATAGAATTAGAAATTCTTTAAAAATTCTCTTGATGTAAATAACAAAAATTTTTTTTATGAGTGACCAACCATCATTGTTCATCAGGCCACACATGTCATTCATTGTGATTACGGCTACTCCGACAGGTGTCCACAGAGTATGTGGTGTGGATGGCATTGACATATACGAGATCTCTATTGTTTGATCGACTTCCCCATTGAGGGAAAAATGGGAACAGTTAATTTAAATATTAATGTAACAATAATTAATTATGCAAATGTTTTGTATATAATAATAATATATGTATTTTGTATATGTTAACTCAAGAAGGCATTTATCCAATTCTTTTCAACATGTTTTGTCTAAAATAAAGCCTCCTCCTACTTTATATGCATATAATGTCTTTTAATCTTACAGTTGATAGCAGTCAAAGCATCTTAGAATTATTAATCCCAGAAATGACATCATTAGGACCATAGGATTTGTTAAAATAATAAAAACAATATTGTTTATTTTTTAAAATCAAATCAAAAGAATTATTTTTTTTTATGAAAATGATTTTTTATTTTTAAACCCTGCCTTCAGATTTGGGTATATTCTTGTACATTTTCCCCCTTACAGCATTCATGTGTTATCATAAAGTATATAACGTAAACTTGGCATTTAAAAAAAGGATGTGCATGTCTGTTTTTTGTGTGCATGTCTGTTTTTTGTAAGCACTCATGAGTTTTTAATGATCAATAAAAATTTGTTGTTTTTAAATGTTCGTTGTTTAACTATAAGAGTCCCTTTGAGAATGGTGAAACAAGTTTTCCTGATTATTTTCAGTTTCTTCTGGAAGCCAACTCTTAATTCAATCTTCACTAATGACTTATTTAAGATAATTTCATCAAATGTATTATTACCAATTCAATAAAAAAAAAAAAGAATATTTTAATTTTACCAATAATACTCACAAAGCAATTGCTCTTATTTAAAAAATTGTTTGTGTTTAGATGAACTGCCCTCAGATTATGTGCAATAATGAAATGAGTCGGCACAGAGAACTCTTCATTGATATAACAATGAAACAACACAGCATATCCATTAAGATTGTGCCAGTCAAGCTTTGCATTAATTGTATCAAAAGACTTTTCATCGACCATTTTCTTCACAGAACCAGAAAAGCTGGATTTATAAATGGAAATTTATTTGCAACATTACAAGTAAAAATGTTCCATGAATAAGTGATGTAAAACAATGGCTGCACCATCATGAGATAAACAAAAATTCATGATATTGTGCAATCTGTCTCTTGAATTTTTAAAAAAACCATAGAGCTTTAGAAACTATTATGATCAGAATATTGATTTAAAAAACAGTAATTTTTAGAGTTTGTCCTACCACAATACTATCTTCCTAGTTACAGCAATATTTTAAAGCAGATGAATGGCTAAAAAAATTAAAGGCAGACAGCAGAGGAGAAACTATTTAAAACTAGGTCAATGAACGGATATCTGTACCAGCAACAAATGCCAAATAAAGTAATTTAATTATAAATGACAATGGAAATTAGCATTGATCTTACTATCCATATACACAAAGGACTTGCAATACTCTTAATCTTTTCCAAATAGAAAAATCTTGAATCACTGAGATCTATAATAGCTCTAATTGAAACTGTTCATTTTGATGTTAATAAATTTCAATATTTCTTTATACAATGTCATTTTTGTGTGACTCTGTTACAACTATTAAAAAATTCAGATTTGATTGCATAAGATCATAAAGCAGTGATGTTTTTATGATAAAGATTAGTCAAATATGAGTTCAATTTACTTGAGAAATTTTAGCTCTAAAACCCTGCACTGACAGATGCAACCAGGATCGCAAGCCCCATGGTAGAAAATGTCAAGTGTATCTATTTAATTATAGCACTTCTTTGATAAACTGCCTGTAAGAATACTTGTTAATTACAAATGTGCATATTATTTCCTTGCTAGTAGATGCATTTTATTCTTTAAGTTAAACATATTAGCTAGTAAAAAATTCCTGTTTTAAATTAGAACAAAAATTAATTGAAGTAAGTCAAAATACAGCCATTTTTTTCCCTCTCAGCAGTTTTCTATTTTCAATTTTTAAAAAGTTCATTGAACTCAACACATCTCACAGAATTCTAAATCAGTTGATACTTCTTGTTGGCTTTTATTTCATTAGTTCAATTTTCAAATCTATTAAAAACATTATTTCCTAAAATATTATTATTATTATTTTAAAAAAAAACCAAGTCAACATCCTGAATAGTTAAAATGTTGACTGAGCCATTTCCTGCATAGGATAGTCACACTAACTCATCTAAGAAACAATAGGTTATTTGTAAGGATTATACAAAAATGCACCAGATTTTAAGTACAAAACAATGACATTGTTCTCTCGTAAGAGCTCTAGACTCTAAAACAATAAGACCTAGCTGAATTTTAGATTTGAGCTCCGATACTGTATTTCAAAATAAATATAATATATATAAAAGGTTATTATTGAAAAAAACAAAAAACAAGCATAAGTGTGCTACTGGAGTACTGGTAACGAAATCTCAGAAAGTCAATGGTTATTCTTTAATTTGAATAAACGCTTGTTTACTTCTACAGTTTACAGCACCATAATTTGTCTAGTTCTCTTGGGATTAAAAAAGCAACTTAATCCCAATTCATTGAGGGAGGTTGGGAGAAGTGAGAAATATGTCTACCTGAAATATCAATCGAAAGATAAAATATGCTTCCAGCCTGTCATCCAACTAAATAGTATAAACAGTTCTCTCACATTAAAAGTATGTAACTCTATAAACAACAAAAGAAAAACCCACAGCTAATGAGCTTTATTCCAAATTGTATGTTGCTAATCAGAAGACACTTTGATCATTGACAGCATTTCACTTTTTGTTTTAGTTGTAGGTTGTTAGTGTTAGTGCAATGACAGGCATTATTTATATTTCTTTTCAAACAGGTCAATTTTTGTCTCATTCATTTAACATGAAAATGTAGCTACATATATTCACCTTGAAACCAAACTAATATTCATGACACATTGACATTAAATTTTCCTCCCTGCTAAAGATTGTCACTATATACCTTCTAGTTGTTTTTAAGGGACAGTATAATTGATGTTAACAGTAAGGTATAAATGATTTTTTTTTTATACATTTCTCTGTATACATTAAATTGTAACTGCTTTCTTAAAAATATACACATGCTCTATACTAAAAATAACAAAAACATTATTTAAAACAAAACCCATTAAAAACTCAAAGCTTTTCTTGAAGTCAATTGCAAATTGAATGCTGAATTAAAATGAAATAATTCAGCATTTAATAAGCCCTCAAAAGAGCCGTTTATAAGTGGTGCTGTGGCAACTTCCAATTTTCTCCAGAAATAATTTGTTTAAAACCAACACAGAAACTGAGAAAACAAGCAAAAATTTGAAATGACATTACAGTTCCAGCAGATAGAGAACCATTTCTTATGTGCCAGATACTGGCAAGTAGCAACAGTTTGTTAAAAGAATAAGAATAATAACATAACATTCTTTAAGATTTTTTAAATTGTATAAATAATACTATTTGAACATAAATAAACTAGAACTGATCATTACTGTGAATTTTTAATTCCACTTTTTCACAGAAAAATCCAATTTATTAAAAATGAAAATTTTGATATTTAGTAAAATTAATCAATAAGACTCTCAAGAAATAGTCAAACATCATGTGGGTTTCCATAAAAATATCTATCATTTAAGCATAAGGCTCATTTTTGTTTCTTCTAAAAATCATAATTGTTTTCTAGGTTTGTACTTGTACTATATTTTTGTTTTAAACATAGGCATTGAGTGAAAACAAAATTTACAATTCCAACAACGAATGAAATCCTACAACAACATAACACTTTGGTGATTTCAATTTAGTTATAAACACATTTCTAAAATCTTTATCTATACAAACTATATTTCAGTGGTTTGTTTATTGGTTTGTGTGTTTGATGAAGAACTAATCACTTTTTAAGGGGATTACATTTTGAGATTAAGAAAAGAAACACACAAAAAAATGAAAATTATAGCTTTGGATTAAAGCCATGAGGGTTGTTTATCATAAATGTTCTATAACAAATTGACAAGGCATGTACATCAGTGTTTATGATTTTTTTTTTTTTTATAGCACTTTTCCCCGCTTCATGAAGGATTTTATAGAAAATCTGAAGAACTTATCCAAAGGGAATGGTTTCTAAAATACTTATATCTATGCCCTGGTATTTGAAGATAGCATTAATATACCCAAAAAAAACAACAGATCCCCACCATCAATTACGTGGGGGGTCTCAAATTTAAATAATTTAAAAAACCAGTTTACATTAGATTAATCTGTATTTGAAAACATTGACTAATATTTTTAGGTTCTACGCTGCAATCCCTATCATTAGATAGGGCTTGCCAGGGTATATTTTAAGACGCATCCCCCCCCCACCAAATGTGTCAATATTCTCTTTAAACTATAATGCTATAACTGTCGCCTACCCCATAACAGTAAAATTTGTTTATATTTTGGATTTCTAAAGAGTATTAAAATTTGTAATTTGTCCATGTCATTTCTAAACAAGATTTGAAAGATTTACTTTTTCTAAATAAAGGTTAAGATTAGAGTCATTAATAATATTTATAGCGCCTAAAAAAAAACATGAAAATATTTAATCGATCAACAGAGAAAAACAGTTGATAGGATTTTCTTATTTGTTTTCAGCCCACAGCAGTTTTTTGCAACCACAGCTTTCAGATTAATAACATTTCTTTTTAATAAAGCACATTAAAATGGACCTAAAAAAATTTGTGAAATGAAAATAGTTATGATTCTTATTGTTGTTTTTGTTATGAAAAAGGAATAAGGTGAATGGATGAAAAAATAATCAGAATTTAATGCCATTTAAAAATCCTGTTTCAGGACAATGATTGTTATATCATATATAAATAAATGTTGACGAGAACAAAGATGCAGCTCTATATGCCCGTCATTAATAAATCTATCCAGTGGTAATGCTTGATGAAATCTTTACAACACTGTTACATGGTTATCCTACATCAATTTACAATGCCTATCCAAACCAAAATTGACAAAATAAACATTGTCCAATACCTAGCCCACACTTGTTGCTCTTATGCGCTTGAGAAAATGATATACGTATTTAAACAGGAATCTACAATAGTAAACTTCACATATGTCTACGGCAAACATCTCTAATTTCTGTGTAAATTTAGTGATTCGAATAATCAACATTTGAGTCAAGTCACAGTTTAAATACATTGTCAGCATACCCCATGTTGAACAAATTATTTTGTGATGATTTCAACTGTTACTTATGAAATTATGGACAACCTCTGACTTGAGCCTCTATTACTTGGTGGTACACTGATACTGAACTATTCATAGCTCAGTACTACCTCTGATCTTTGTTTTACTTAAAAACAAAATTCTTAAATGTGAGAATTTAACTTATTTTTTATCAATTCTAAGCACATAATAGATATTAAATGTAAGATTTGCACCGAATAGATATTTAGCCAAAGTCCCCGTTTAAAATATTTTAACTAAGAGACCATTAAAAATATTTGTGGCTATCTCTTGAACTGAAAATCTCAATACCTGTGACAAAATGATTCGATTATCCTCTTTCACAGATTAACTAACAGGATCAGTTTATATATCATTATATATATATATATATTTATATATTTATATGTATGACAAGTCTTATGGTTAATTGTAGAGCATGGATTTGAACAAAATGGCAATGCCATCTAAAAATTCTCGCTTTAAAAGTTAGACTTGTCTACAACAACAAATGATTGAGATGGCAAGTTGCAACACATCAGTAATGTAATGTCCGATGCCAAGGAAAGAAAAAAAATACAAACATTTTCTTTCTTAGCCAAGCATGTAATAAATGTGATGCCAGATAATTAAATGATCACAGCTGGGAAACTTGTTCTCCTAACGTTGTCATTCTTACAAGTTAAACATGGATGTAAAAAAACAAATGTTATGTACTAACACTTGAGTCTCTCACTAAAGTAAGAACTGTGCAGAGATGGCTTGACTGGTAAGCCACATCCTTAGGGGTTTACTTGGGGACCTCTGAATGGATGTTGTTGTTTTTTAATCCAATCAGTCGTTTCTTGGACTGCCACCAGTAAACTAGGCCAGGTGAGAGCATGCACAGCCACACAGTCATAATGACACCAATCATCATTCTGGTGCCATTGGATGCTGTTGGTGCTGGTGGTGTTGAGTTGGATGATGCTGTTGTTGTTGCTGTTGAGACTGCTGGTGGTGGTGCTGCTGTTGTTGCAGCCTCCGCCTTTCACCAGATGAATTATGTGCATCAAGCATCTCTGTAAGGAGGTCACAGAAGGTCACACAACCCTCCATCTTTAGCCGCTGGAAGTATGAAATGCCTCTTTCCCCAGCTTGGCGAATATGTGTCAGCAAAAGAAGGATGGACGGTGCGTGTCGCCAGCTACCATAACCCTGATGACGCCCAGCCACTTCCATAAATACATCGAGAATAACTTGACGCATCTCCTGTATTTTCACAAAGCTGTCCAATCGCCGTACTTCTGTGAAAAGAAATAAGTCAACATTAATTAAGAATGCTTCCTTGTGAATAAATGAAAATATTATCAGCCAATTAAAAAAAATGGTGATACCAAAATGCACAGTCCCAATAGAGTCTCAAGGCACTTCTGTGTCAATGCTTGTTAATGCAAATTCATTCATTGTGGGACAATGAGATCCCTTTCGATAATAAATATGGAAAATGGCTAATATTCAAGATCAGTGGTTCCAATTATTTTTTATTGGAAAACAGCTATTATCTCTTGTGTCCTGCTCACTCTTTTCCTATGAGATGAAACTAAGTCAAAAAAATATTGACAAAATCTCTAGCTGGATATTAATTGAAGTTGAAGTAGAAAAAATTTGCTATGTTTTTCTCCTCTTTAATTTTTAAATGTCATCTTTCAGTAGCTAAGGAATTTGTGCACACACAAAGTTTGTACAAGATTAAATAGTATAGTTCAGGCTGTATGATCAAAATATTTTGTAATACAATAGGCTGAAGCTTAAATAAAAAAATCTATAAAACAAAAACTGACGTTTGGGCTGGAGGTCTACCTTTGTAACAACACAAATCACACAAAAAGATAGCCACTTAGCTCTACTTGGTTGACTGGAAATTGTTAATAATAAACTTTATTGGTATTTTTCATTTTTCAATTTTAAAACCAATTTGTTTGTTTAAAAAAGAACTTCTGTAATTTGTTTGAATATTAAAACACATTTTATCACGCATGAAAGACAGTCACAACCATTACCAAAATAGAACTTTAATTTTGACTATCACTGTTGATTTAACAATGAACTACAAACTTTGTTCAAGCAGCCCCAAAGAAAAGTGTTTGAGTGCCCTCATGAAATTTACTTAACAAAAAAATCATTTTGAGAATTTAAAAAAAAATAAAGGCCTAAAGGATAATTTTAAATAAGGCTAACCTTTAGACAGCTACTTTGTAAACAACCATGTCAACAATCAGCATTAATTTAAGTGTGGTCAATTTCAACTAACCTGCATTTACTAATACTGTAGCCTGCAGAAGCAGCAGCTCTTCCTTGTTCAGGTTGTACAAAACCATTTGCTCTGACACAGCAGCCACCTGCTCTAACACGTCCCCCATCCCTGTGAGACCCCACTGATGCCTGAAAAAGAAAATGTAGGTCATGATGCCATTCAACACTAATAACATTGCAATAAATCAGATCCCCATTCAATACCGACATTGCAAGAAATCAAATCATATCAAATTTATGTTAATTAACTCACAAAAGACGTGAAGTATAAATTAATTCCTCAAAACCATTGCATCCCATTGATTTTGAGAACAGTGCCCCATCCAACCCAAAACAGAGCCAATCTTCTGTCATTTTTTGAGAGTTAAAAGCTAACAAGTGCTCAAAGAAACATAAACGATAATGTCAATAAACATTTCCTTATGATCATACTTTTAGAGTTAATGTCAAAAAATGATTTTAAAAACAGTGTTGATCAGATTATAAAATGAAATCACCATTAATTTCCACTGACACTAAGAAATAATCTTGGATCTCAATTGAAAGATTATTTACACAGTCTTCAGCTTGGCCCTAAGAAAGTCATATACATTTTTTTGTAAAAATCAGCCACATTCAAAGTCAATTAAACTAAAAAGCAATTTATATTCTTGTAGTAAATTTTTTACCTTTCTAGATGGAAGTCAGGAGCAAAAACAAGTATTCGTCCTTCATGCTCCATGGATCTGAAAGCACAATTGAGTAAGAGCAACTCCATCCAGCAGCACTCTATAAGGTGGACCTGGTCACTCAAGGTCAGACATGTATAACCTGTTGACACAACACATTTATAACATAAGGTTTAGACAATTATTTCATGTATCTTATAATACTTGGTACACTAGTTCTATGCTTCCACAAAAGGATGGCATTGTATTTGTAAAAAATAATTGGGGCAGAAATTTTGTTATGTAAGAGGCAAATATGCATTCTGAAAGGACAGATCAGAGAATAAAGTCTTTAAATCACTAAGCTTGGTGATGCACTTACAATGATAATTTGATGTATTAACATTAATCGTCTAAATCTTGATATTCCTTTAATTTTTGCTAAACGATGTGTTAATTTAGTATCAATATAAATTGGGTTTGTTAAAATGACAAGGATTTTTAACTTTTTTGTCATGGACTAAATTTATTCCTTAGATTTCTAAATATGTTTCAATGTGGTTAATGTGAAATACAGTGAAATTAATGGTATATTTGACCCTACCTGGTACATGTTTGGCCCAATTGATGAGATACACAAGTTCTCTGTCCGCTAATTTAATCAATGTATTAAGAAGATGAACACGAGTTGCTGGTAAACTATGATTGTGGTAGCTCTCTAGAACAGGAAGATCAGCTTTTTGAAGAGCTTCTAAGATGGATGCACTTCTCGACCTTTTGGCTGCCTGAGAAAAAGAAAAATCTTTCATTAAATGAGCACATAGAACATAAAATTTAGCTACAGCAGTTTCACAAAAATGATCACTTCCACAAAACAGGTCATTTTGAAAATAGCTACATAGTATAACAAATGTTAAGGAAGCTGGTCTCCAAAATTAAAGGATTTTTGGGTTCAAAGGTCAAGTTTATTGCAGACTTGGCAAAGTAATTTAGTTCTTCTAGTTATTGTTTGTGTGTATATGTGAGGGGTGAAGGTTTGATAGGCAGATTAAGAGAGACATACTTTTGATGAAGATGCTCCATTGTTAGTAGAATTAATAGCAGAATCTGAAGAATCTGCCCGACATCTTTTGCCCTTCAGGCCACTTGTGTTAGCACTACTTTTTCTTTCTTTCCGTTGACTTCCTAAATGAAGAGGACAGATACTATTTTAAACAGATGTTCATTTTCAAGCAATCCAAAGAAATTAACAAAATAAAATAAAGCATGTCATTTTGCAAGCCACACAAATTTTTTGAGACTTCACAATCCATACTCATAATCAATGGGAGAAGTAAATCATTTCATTGTGTTATTCAATATTTACTCACCTGACTGCATCAACAAAAAAACAAACAAAAAGTGCGTGTAAATGCCTCTATTAAGAACTGATTTTGTTGCCAGAAAAAAACATAACATTTGTAGCAATTCAGCATGTCCTTGTGGCATTTCCTGAACAATGAGTTAAGGCCTAAACATGGATTTAAGCACCATCATCATTGACCACATATAAGAAGCCATACACAAGCTGACAAATGGCATCTGCAATGAAATACTTATAGTTAAGGCAGATTACCAGATAGCCTTACATCCTACACCAGATACTGCAGTAGATTTGCAACACAGAAGTGATCCAAACTATTTGGAGGACAAGAACTGTCCTCAAACTGCATTAAATGGGGACTCTACAAACAAATCACAACTACAGTGGAGAATATAATTAGACAGGAGGACGACTTTAGGACTGGGAGGTCTATGATAGGTCATATCTTTGTATTAAGGCAAAGTTTAGAGCAGACTCATGAATGGATTGCAATCTTGTCTGTAACAGTGTCTTCATCAACCTCAAAAAAAGCTTTGGCAGCCCTGTGAAGCTCCTTCAACACAACAGTGATCCCATAAAAAAAATATTAATAAATCACTCTGTGAGAACTTTGAATGTAGAGTTCTCCATAATGGCCACCTTGCTAAAACTTTCAAAGTTTTTAATGAAGATTAACTGACGTATGTCTATAACCAGATAGCGAAGAGGCAAGGAATACAGTGGATCTTGATCTCATCTTCAAGGACTTTGACTAAGTCAATGACATAAGACTGCTGTCTAAAACGCCAAAAGTAACAGTATAGAAACTTCAGTTTCTTGAGCACACGTGTGCATTGGTCAACGGTGCATAGCTCCTGTCAGCGTGTTTTCACAGCAGTCTTGTTTAAGATGTGGTTGGCATTCATAGTTGGAAATGGCTCTCTCAAGGAGGAAAACATATCCATAGTTGAAGACTATATCACTATTTAGTACTTTTACTTTTGGCGAAAACTGTAAAAAAAACCATTGAGCCACTAAATTAAAACTGCCATGAACGCAGGCCTCAATGTTAATGCCAGAAAGATGCAGGTCGTGATAAAAATGCTGGAGCTGATGGAACAATGGGTGTGAACAACAGTCCACTGTCTTGATCATTGGAACAACGGGTGTGAACAACAGTCCACTGTCTTGATCTTTGGAAAAATGGGTGTGAACAACAGTCCACTGTCTTGATCATTGGAAAAATGGGTGTGAACAACAGTCCACTGTCTTGATCATTGGAAAAATGGGTGTGATTAACAGTCCACTGTCTTGATCATTGGAACAATGGGTGTGAACAACAGTCAACTGCCTTGATCATTGGAAAAATGGGTGTGAACAACAGTCCACTGTCTTGATCATTGGAAAAATGGGTGTGATTAACAGTTCATTGTCTTGATCATTGGAACAATTCTTATTGAACACGCCACCCTTCCTGTTTGTATATAATATATGAATAACCCCCCCCCCAACAAAAACATTAGAACTATTTGTGCTTACCTTTATTCATGCCAACTTCATAGCACCGCCGTAATCTACAAGCTTGGCAGCTTTTACGCCTATGTTTATCTATAGTACATGTATTGGTGGCTGGACATATATAATCAACAGGTCCTGAAAAAAGACAGAAATATGGCCCTATTAGGTGATTTCTTGTACCATGTTTAAAATGATGTTTTGACAGATGTCTTGAAATGTATGCAATATGATGTTATCAATAGCTGAGGCCAAGAATTTGGCTATTCCTTATGATTGTAAATTAAAATACACAAACAATCAGTGTCAAGAAATTGGGAAAAACATTATTTACATCAATTAGTGAGGAATGCAGACAGGTTTAAAATGTGTGCAGTTATCAGAGAAAACTGAAACAATTAATCCATGAACAATGCATGCTTTGAGCTGGTGAACAAATAAGCAATGTCATAAATGTGTACAAAAATAAGCTTGTGTTAATATGGGGTGGGTGGGGGGGGGGGGGGGTAGCTAAGAAGAGATGATGGCCTGGTACTGAAGTTCATAGTTTAGTTCAGATCTACCTGTGGTCTAAAAGACCTTTCTGATGTCTACGTGGCCTTCAGTGAGATCAGTTTGCCCACCTAGGCTCTTTTCTAGTTTTATGTTCAATCCAAACAATGTTCAATACTTCTAATCAGGAAAACCCTCGAGAGCTTTGCAACCCTCCAGAGCTTTGCAACCCTCCAGAGCTTTGCAACCCTCCAGAGCTTTGCATTTTTAAATAGTTCATGTCTGTACAGATTGAGCAAATTAACGCACACAAAAAAAAAAGGCAATGAAAACACTGCTATTTTGCACACAAGTACAGTATTTACTGGCGTATAACACACACTTTTTCGACCTCAAAATAGGGGGCAAATGATGTGATACGCCAATATAATGTTTAGTTTTTTTTTCCTGAAATTTCCTTCTTAAATTGAGGTGTGTGTTATACACAGGGGCGTGTTATACGCCAATAAATACGGTCGTTAAGAAGTAAAATGTTAGTTACAAGACCTTTCCAATAATTTATTATTTAAAATAGAACTAGAATTTTACAGTGCAATGTTAAATATTTGACGTTAGTACATTAACTTGTTGTCATTTTCTTTTTTATACCTTGTATACTCCTCTTGAAGAAAGCTTTACATCCTTCACAAGACCACACACCATAGTGAAAGCCTGAAGCATTGTCATTGCAAACCTGGCACAATTTAGCTTGGATGCTGCTGCCAGGAACTGAGACAATGGTATATTGTTATGTATATTTTAAAATCACGGAATGTAATAGGGTTAACTTCATGACACAATTAAATATAATTGTGTCAAAATGTAAAAAAAAGTTTTCAATATTTACAGTTTGGCAGTGGCACTGTGTATACCTCACTGCAGGTATACCAGATGTTGCCTCTATTTACAATAGTAATAGAAAAAGATTGCAACTTTGTTCTTCGATAGGAAATTTCTATGGAGCAAAAGATACATTTAAAAAAAATTAAACCACAAACATATTGTTTTGTGATTGTGCATCTAGGCTAAAAAATGAATCAGTGCATTAGTAAATGCTTTGGAATATAGCACTCACAAGCCTTCCAAACAGTTAGACATAATTCAAGAAGACCATTGCTCCATTCACAATTAAATTGATTTTACTGTGTTTCCGAGGTCCATACAAAGTGGTTTGTTTCTTTTCCCAGTATATTAAGTTGTCCTTAGACCATGATATGTGCTGAAATTTTTTATCCTAATCTAAAACTTAACTCCATGTTGTAATTCAACACAATACAACCAATCCATTTCTAAATTAAACTTTATACAGTAAATCTTAACATATGACCACAGAATTGGCCATTATTTTCAAGCACATTCAAATGAAAAAATTGAGCGACCGAAGTATTGAAAACTAAATATTTGCAATCCATTTAAATGGAAATAAAGCTAATAATTGATTTCCTTAACTTGAAATATAAATCATTATTTTAGTCTGTCTCTGAATATTTACAAAACAACTATATTTGTACATATCTTGTTCCCTAGCTCATAATATTACCTTTGAAAATAACCTTAACATGAATGGCAACTCACCTGCCCCTCCTATTTCTTGTTTCATATGTGAGGGAGGACTTGTCCCCATTCCACCATGCACTTCCATAAGGAAGTTATGAGGAAGGGGACCAGATCCTGACTCTGGTGTGGTAGAGGTGGCTGCCTGGAGGTGTGCCGCACCAACCTCCCCTGAGCCTCCCAAAGGGAGGACTTGCATGCAGGAGCTTGGAGAAACCATCCGGGCCTCTACTTTTGGTGATTTGCAATCGGACGGCTCTCTGTAAAAAAAGTAATATTTTTCTTAAGGTCTCTAAATTGACAGAAACAAAGCTGGATAACTTGTACCTTTATTCAGTTCAAATGGCATGAGTCAAACTCTGGATCATGTAGAATATGCTTCTCCCCACCTCCTATAACAAGTCAACAAAAACACTATGCAATGTAAGCCATATGGTTCAAAAAGTAATTAGACACATTGTAACAAAATATACAAATACAAGAATGGAGATAAACGGGGGTAAGTGAACAAACTGTACAAGATAAAGGTCATCAGGTTGGTTTTCAGACTACAAGATACAAAAGCTGTTGGTATTATTTTGTATATCAACAGACAATGAACTAGTATCATGATAAATCCTAAATCAAGGGAAACCTGATATTAGCTCTGATTTGTGCTTTGGATGGATGATCAAATTGATCAAACATGACGTGCACCCTAAGAATGACTGCTCAAGAGTTGTTGGCCAAAATATTTCATCATTGAGAGTTTTAAAATATGTTGATTTGTCAATTTTCTCTAAAATTAAACAAAATCTTTAGAGGAAATCATTCCATTTAATGCTAAAATTATCTTAATTTGTGCGCTGAATATAATACCAAATCAACAAAATTTTTATTAAGTAACTTGTAAAAATGAATAAAACTTTGCTAACTAACATTAATGCATTGGTATCTTAATAAAACAAGCTACAATATTACAACACTGACAGAGGTAGATCCCTTCAAATGCTACATTTGCCATCTTCTGTGGACTTGGCTGAGTGAATAACTGTCATGTTCTCATCCAAGTTTTATTAATCTTTTATCTACATACCCATTGGTCTATATATTGCATGTCATGACATTTTAAAATAATTTTTAATTCCAACTTAAAGGGGATATTCAAGATACTGGGACTGTAAAGTTTTTTTTAAATACTAAATTTAATACAATTACAATACATAGCAGTCAAACTTTAATTAAAAAGTGAGTGGTTGGGTAGAAGATGTGATAGATCACATGTGCTGTGAAATAGAGTGAACTGTAGTTTTATCAGCATTAGCAGTTATGTGAAATTTATTACTTGCACATTTTCTGGACACTGATAACCTGATTGTATCAAGTCACCACTGAGTAAGAAAACTTTAACAATTATATTTTTGTAAATTACTGCATTTTGATCTATTCAAATCCACTTATTTTAAAGACGTTATTCAAATGTGTAAGCACAAAAAAAAATAGTAAAACATTTTTAGTCAAATTAAAAACATTTTGACAATAAATACTCATAGTTTAAAAAAATAATATTAACAGCATTTCTTTGACAAGATTATATAAACTTGTTGAATCCTTAAGGCAAGATTTCCTGCAATTTATTTTATCTTTAAGTGATATGATTATACTTCACTATGATTTAAATTTGAATTAAAAAAACTATCTAAGAAATCATTGGTGTATTACATCCCTAAGAATGTCCAAGTTTGAATTTGCCAATTTATTGATTGAACTTCACTGATATTCAGAATTTCGGGCACACAAATAAATTACAATGCAGGGAGAAAATATTTACTACCGGTTATCAGATAAAATTGTTTATGAAATGAGCCTTGTTAGTTAAATTTGATGGTAATTGATACTGTGATGTGTTTTTGTGACGTTTATGGAGTTGAGGGAAGAGGATTAGCCACGATCTAGAATATCTTAAAAATTGACATTTGTTACTTGACACACTCTGGTAGGTTGAACATGGTCCTGTATAACAGATCACTCAATTTAACCATACACTGAGGAATTCTGGGGTAAATTTTCAGGAAACCATTTGAATAATTGTATCCATAGATTACTCTAAGCCAGTGCTCAGCAACCTTTTTTCACTCAAGGAACCCCCACACCCTTACCAGATTTCCATGGTTAATCAAATTTTAAAACATGAAAAAATTATTTATTGTTATATTCACAAACCAACATTCTACATTTTTTTTTTATAGACTTCAAATAACATAAGCCCGTAGATCTGTTACAGCCAACCAAGTGATATAACATAATATAGCATTCCCTATTTAAGTGCAAAAATCAATACAACAGAAACATAGGAAAAATTATTTTGTTTTAAACACATACAGAGAATAAAATATCTATTTTTAAAATAAGTCCCTAGCCTATTCTGCTGAATTAACTGTTTTATATTTGGCTCAATATCTATCATTTTTTAAATTAAAACAAGAGTGGAAAAATGTTGTTCAATTATATAAGTACCGGTAGTTAAAAACTGTAGGAGGACAGCAATAGCCTTGTGAGAAATTCTAGGATATTCTTCTTTACTTTAACTAAAACCCAGAAAACATCAAATGGAACTTAAGTGAACTTTATTTTGAGTGTCATGTCTACTATCAATTCCAGAACTTCCTCTTGAACCTTGAGGGAGAGCTCTTCTGTCGAATTTTGGGGAAATAAAGCTTAATTGTTACGGATCCAAAAGTATTGCTCCATATCTACTGGGTATAGGTCAAATTGTTGCTGTAACAATGTTAGATGTTGCATCAAGTTCAATTTTTCAGTAAGTGTTTCCAAAATATCACTTGACAGATTGTCCATATCGGTATGTCTTTAGAGAGTATCAGCAGATAGGGAATTTTTTCTTCCTTCCTTAGCATTATTTGGCAAAAGCATTATTCGAACGATTTCTATAGGCCTACTTGCTGCTTTAACATGTGCTTAACCAATAGCATTTGTTTTCTTTCCTGCTATTAATCTTGAAACGTGATCACTAGCCCCTAAAGCTTCTTTAGAAACGTTCAGAAACTGTCTAATTATTTTAGGCTTTATTTAAGATCTTTACATTTAACTTCATTGAAAATATTCTTTATCCTTGTTGGCACTCAATGAATGTTTTGATTTTAGATGGCGAATATGTTTGCTAGAAACAATAATTTTGTTAGAATGTTGCTCAAAGCAAATTATACATTCATCACTCTCATAAAATTCCTGTGTATATTTTCATCTTTTTTTTCCTGTGTTTCATCAGTTTTCTGTTCATTTACACAACTTTTTGTATCCATGTTTAACGTGGAATTTTCTTTTATTTTAAAAACTCTAAGTAGCTGATTTAATACAAAGAAACACTCCCATTCAAACAATTAGCCCTATAACTGTCAAGACCAATTTTCCAAGGCGTCAAGCCATTTTTTTCAATTTCTTATGTTTGTCAAAAATCTCAGACTAAATGTATTAAGAGACACAAGGATACATTTTCTGAAAGTACATTGGACAAGGTATCTTATGATATGAAAAGAATTTGTTTTTTTATTATGTATGTTGATACTGACTTTGACCTTTATAGAGTGAGTAATAATTTAGTACTCAACTTCTGAATTCAACGCACCCTAAACACTCTATAAATCATAAAATCAAGTATTTGAGATACCTACTGGAAGCAATATTTGTTCAGAAAATGTCAATTTATAGTTACTTGTATGGAACATTGTGATATTGGTGAATTTTTTCATTCACTACCTTCAAATTAATATCATACAAAATACAAGGGGGAAGGCACAAAATGAGTTCAAAAATTCCTTTTCATTTTAAGTAATTAAATCCATTTTTTTTATTAATTAATACTCAAGAACATACACAAACATAAATATCTTTAGGGTAGATCTTTAGGATCAAATATGTGTCTTTTTTTTTTTGTTGCTTTTCACCCTTTCCTAAACAAATTTGTCTTTAACAATACGACTAAGCTGAGGGATGAAATTGTCAATATCTGACTCTTGACATCACCGCCAAAGCTAATACTGTAATTACTAGCATGTGGAATATCTCTGAAATCTTTGCTTTCATTTTAATATATTTTGAATAATTCCAATAAAGAAATTGTATGTTAACTTTGAAATCTCGAGGGAGCCCTCTACGGCATCAGACATGGCGGTAACAAAATTTGAGAAAATTTCACACCCAGACCTGTTTACCCTCAAACTCTTAAAATCGTACAATATCATCACAAAATCTTTCAATACCTTATATTTATAGTAAAAAATAAACCTACAGTATATATAATGAACAGGAATGCACACCCGATTAATAAAATATCCCTTCTAAAAGCACATAAACACACTGATAGTAACCGAAATAGGAAGCAAACTCAATGATGTAGAGAGATTTCCCTTTAAAAATATACATTAAATCAATACACATTTTTAATGATGATTTTGCTAGAGTCTGATTATATCAGCCACGACACTACAGAAAGGGGTCTATCAGCTGATATACCCGGATTTATCACAGTTATATGGTTAAAATAGTCTTTTGTTATAAAAAAAAAAAAGAGACCACTAACTTAGGGACTCACGACATTCAAGTTTAGGTAACCATATTTATTTCAATGCCAAAGAAACTAAACAAAAGCAATACTTAAATTTAAAAAACAAGTCTCACGATCAACATGTGTCTGATTGTTTCAAGAAGTCAGATGAAATATCGTTATAACTCTCAGTCTGGACAAGATGGGACTTAGTAGAGTAGTTTGTGTTTGTTTTCATTTATTGGTGATGAATTGTTGCGGTATCTCAGTATGTTAACCCCATCTGCTCCTTCCCAAATTTTGAGTATTTAACACCCACACAAAATGGTGTCCAAAAAAATCAGTCAGCCAAACTTGTGTCAGGCAAGATTTCGATGTAAAGGAACAAAATCATTTTTTTTTTAAAGCGTTTGAAGAACAGGGCTCTTCTGAAGTTTTTTCATATTAAACATGTAATTCAGTATAATAATTCGGGTTGTTGAGAAAAAAAATATTTCAAGGGTATAAGGCAGAAATGAACTGCTCCTCTCATAGAAAACACTAAAAATTATACACACGAATGGGATGGAGAGAGATTTATTTACTGAAGACTACCGGTATCAGATAAGAAGATGATTAAAAAAAAAACAATTTTAAATTAAACCTTGTGTAAACTTGAAGACATTCATCAAAGCTCACACATTTGCATGTACTTAAAAAAGACAATGTATAAGAGAGAGGCAGTTTTCATTGCCTAGTAAGAAGTTCATAATTTATTTATTTAGGCATTTTTTATATAGCGCTTACCTTAAAGCTCTAAGCGCTTTACAATTATTAAAAACATGTAAACTAAGTAAAATAAAAAATGAGACACTAGGATAGTAACTACTATATTATAGAAACAATTAAAATGGCTATAAAACGAGGACACTTTGGCACGTTTTGGCCTATAATACAGGATCAACCCGAGACAGAAAATGAGGCAGGGCAAGGAGGGTGCATCACATGTCATAGGCGGACCTAAACAGATGTGTTTTAAGGGACTTTTTAAAAGTGGACGAGGTTTCACAATGACGGATATGGAAGGGGAGCTGGTTCCAGAACGAGGGCCCATGGAAGTAGAAGGAGCGTTCACCGATGGTCTTAGTTTTGGTTCTTGGGATTGAGAGGGTTCTATTGTCAATGGAAGAGCGTAGTTGTCTTGTGGGGATGTAAGGAAGCAACAGTTCAGAGAGATAGACAGGAAAGTGAGGGTCAGTGAACGAGTTGAAGCAAAGATTGGCAGACTTGTATTTGATGCGAGAGGATATTGGAAGCCAGTGGAGTTGCCGCATGTGTGGTTGAATGTGGTCATGTTTCTTTAATTTAAAAATGAGTCTGCATGCTGAGTTCTGTGCCTTCTGAAGTTTTTCTATGTGGTGTTGAGGAATGCCTGAGAGAAGAATGTTACAGTAGTCAAATTTTGAAAGAATGAGTGAAGAGACGAGAGTTTTTGTGGCATCAAAGGAGAGGAGGTGTCTAATGGTTCTGATTTTTCTAATTTCGTTATATGCTGATCTGCATATATTCGTGACATGTTTGTCCATGGAGAGGGTGTCCGTAAGCGTGACTCCAAGGTTTCTGGCAGAGGGAGAGAGTGTGATGTCAGAGTTGCCAATAGATATAGAAGAAGGAGCGAATGGAGGGAGAGGTTTGTTTTGAGAGTGGATGAGAAGGATTTCCGTTTTATCATCATTTAGCTTCAGTTTGTTGCAAGTCATCCAACGCTTTACATCGTCCACGCACTCCTGTATGCGAAGGATTGTGGCATCAAGTTGATCAGGAAAGCAAGAGTCACTGATTTGAGTGTCATCAGCAAAGGATTGACTGGAAACTGAGTGGTGGCTAATGAGAGATGATAGAGGTTTAGTGTAGAGGATGAAAAGGACCGGCCCAAGGACCGATCCTTGAGGAACTCCAATAGACAGGGCTGAAGGTTTGGAAGAGCGGTTGGAAATAGAGACTTTTTGAGTTCTGTCAGAAAGATATGATTGAAACCAGTTTAAAGCTGAGCCAGTAAGTCCGAAAGAAAGATGAAGGCGGTCAAGAAGAATCTGGTGGTCAATGGTATCAAATGCAGCAGAGAGATCTAACAGAGTGAGAATAGAGAGTTTGCCATCGTCCATCGCGCGCAGGAGGTCGCTCATGACTCGGACCAGTGCTGTTTCTGTGCTATGACCAAGTCGGTAGGCGGACTGGGAGGAAGGATAGAGATTGCGAGAGTGAAGATAGTCAGAGAGCTGAGAGAGTATGAGTTTTTCTATGAAGATCATAATGAAGATCCCATGAAGTAAAATACTTTGCTATAAATAGATGCCATGCTATGACAAACTATGTTTACTATCAATCAGTTAACACATCAATAAAGATAATTCAAGTTTTGAAAGATTATTGCAACCAATTGTTACGGTTCAAGGAAATGAAAGATAATTTTTCACTTCTATATAATTATATAAGCAAACTGAAATTTAAAATTTATAACAAATGTAATGGCTACCGAATATGTTTTTGAAAGAAATTTCATCTGTTTTTTTCCAGTTCACACGTTAAAATTTGTGTCATATTTCTTTTTGAATGCACTATATTTTATAGTAAAAAAAAATAATGCGTTCAAAAAGAAATTTGATGCAAAATTTTAACGTGTCAACTGAAAAAAAGATTCAACCAAATTTCCGTTGACAAAATTTTATTTCAAAAAATTTCCGGATACGCAATTTAATATTTTATTTATAGCCTCTTTTCTTTTGTCATTTCCCAAACTAGAATCATTGCTAAATAGAATGACACTAAGGAGGCTTTTGTTCCATTGTATTTATATGCTCTGTGGTTTGTTTTTAGCATCTTTAAATAAATTCTCTCTAAATTTTAACTTAAAACTATTTTATTTCATTTAAGTACTAATCTTTAGTAACTTAATTATTTTTAATATAATAGAAAATGAAGCAATAAACAAAAAATATTATTTTGCATTTATGGGTCTATTTGAAACACTCCCTAATAGACTATAAAATGTGGGGGCTAACAAGATATACAACAATTTTTAATTCATTATTAACGGCATTAAGTCTACTGGTTATTAGTTTATTAGTTTTTTAAGGTGTGATAAACTCTGTACCACTGATTTTAAATTGCTGATTGCTGTCCCAATTCAGTAAAATACTTCATTTTCAGACTTATATTGTGTTTAACTAACTGATGAAAGTTAAATCTTGCTCAAATTTATTTTCCAATGGATATAATAGCATATAGATAGTAGTAGGTGGGGAAAAAAAAATTGGATACTGTAGGAGTATGTTATCCACACTACTTAAGAAAATGTCATAATTAGATAACCAGATAGCAATTATCAGAGGCCAAGTTGACATACTGCATTAGTTGGTGGTAAACTTTTTATTTTTTCTAAATGGACAACTTTAAAAGCAAAAAATGCACAGTATTCTAATTTGACATTACTTTACCAAATTAAATTTAGTAAAATTATAGAATTGAAATGGATATACTATTATGTAACTTAGTTTTTAGATATTATTTAAAAATACTTTTTTTTTTTTTCCAATGTCTCGCTCAAAGCAGTGCTCTTAAACCAACATGTTCAGAAATCTGGAGTTCATTTTTAAAAAATTTAAATGAAGTTGAAAAACCATACTAAAACTACTTTCCACCAGAATTTCTGGTCCAGAAACAACATTGAAAATGGCAAAAGGAGCTTCTTGAAAACTCTACAAAAGGCAGGATAAAATATGAACATTTCTTCTGTAGCCAAAACTCTTGGTAAGGCTGATTTGCTTGTGGTTCTATCTATAAAAATCATTTTTTAAAAAGATTAGTTAGTTCTTTCTCCACTACCATACACCAAATGAAAAATCTGAAAATGGATTTCCACCCATCTATATTTTCTGTTTCTTTCAAAAGAGGCCACTAACTAATTCCAACATGGCAAATTTAAATGATCTCAAAATATTCGAATTTAATATTTTCTTGTTTATAGTCCTCATTAACAATATTGCTATTATTTATAGCCAATTAGTGAACTTAGCTTAGTTTTTTCCTGTCCAGGGCATGGGTGTATGTCAATTCACAATGCCTCATTAAGTATGGAGTATGTTAAAATTTGATAATGAAAAGTGACCTGCCTTTGAAAATGTTTCATTTTCATTATGTGTACAGACAGGTTTATATGTTAAATATAAACTCTAAAGACTTCCTCAGTTCAAACCAAGCCTTATTTATTAAATATGGACTGTTATTACAAGTTGAGAAAAGAAATTGAACAAAAATTCAAAAAATGGGTATTAAACCCACAATAGACAGAAAAGAGAGCTTACAAACTGCAATTAAAATTAAAGTAAAAATAGGTTTCTTCCAAGGGTAGGGCGCTCTTTATTAGCAAAATATAAAGGGAGTCGATATTAGTTACTGCTTCAGGAAAAAACTATGTATTCCCTACACTCGCCTAGTCAAATCATCCATATTTTAATATTAGGTAATTAACCTAGAAGTTTTTGGAGCAATTTTAATTAATTTCCTTTGGTTGCAGGTCTTACATTGCTTTTAATTTCACAGTCTATGTTTACATCAGCACAGATGATGAATATAACAAACCACAATGATTTCTTGTGTCAGAAAATAAAATAGTTTTTCTAATTAGTCATACTCCATTATTATTATTCTTTTTATTATTTTTACCATCTTTAAGTTATCTTAGGAAGTTAGAGAACAGGTTTGTCTTTTTTCAAGTGCCTGGAAAAAAACATCTCTAACTGATGACATAATTTAATGCAGATGATAGAGATAGTTTTAAAAAAATAAAATTTTGTTGGAATGATGTATTCATGAAATTCATCAGCGCCCCCTATGTTAATCCCAGTGCTTCCCATTATATAATCAGCATTTTAGTACCTGCACACTCTGAGAATCACCTTTTCAAATTTACATTAGGTCGAATAAAGTTATGAGGGCGATGCATACTATTACAAATGATAATGTATAAATACTTGTTTATTTAGATGAGTGGGAACAATTTGTAACCACTGTCTGTCCATGACTGCCAACTAACTAAAAATTCATTATTTTAAAATTCAATTCTCCCTCTATTTCTCTCCTCCACCCCCCCCCCCCCCCCCCCCCCCCCCCCCCCCACCCCCCCCCNTTTGTTTTATTTCATTTTTTTTTTTTTTTAAATATGTTTAAACCCATTTTTAGCACTAGTCTATAATTTATTTTCAAACTTTTGGTTAATTTTGCCAGAAAAAAAATTAATAAACATTTTAAAAAATGAATTGATATTATATTGTTTAAAAGGATTCATGCATCTTAAATACATCAGTTGAGGATTAGAATGAAGTGTATAAATATCCTTAATGTTATATCCTTTTAAACAATTTCTGACAATTAATTGATTTAATTCATGTCCACAGAGGGGCTTTATTACTTTCTTAAACTAATTTATACCCCTTTTTTATATTCCAAAAAATTTGTATTAATTTGAACTAAACCAAATTAAACATAGTTATAATTTTGTGACAATTTTATCTTTTAATGTTAATTACAAAAAAAAAAAGACTAAGCACATTAACCTATTTGCAGTTGAATACTGGCAATTACATTTTATTAAATACCAATTTTTTTGCAGATTTAAAGAAGAACAGATATATCTTTTTATATGATCTCTAAAATCACGAAACAACACTACATAATATTATTCTGTGAGCCAAGGATAGGATTCACTGTCATAAGTTTCGGGATTCTATTTCTCCTTTACTGAGATTCCTATGACCGGACAGATTTTACTGCAATGTGTCAGTACCATCAAGAATAAATATAAACTGTATTAATAGAAACTTTAAATAAAATGGAAAACAGGGTGGATTTAAGGGACTGAGATAAATACTTAGATCAACGGATGGCAACCAATGTGCCTGCCAAGCATGGCATGTCAATGACATTAAGCCACCATGCAAAACCAAGAGTTAACTTTAAAAATTCTTAAGTAGATATCCAACTACTTAGCTGAGTTGTACATAAGAATTAAAACAAGAATATTATCAACTTAATTTTAATATGTAAGGCTAGAAGTTGGACACTGCAATGTACTGGGAAATCTTGAACTTTATATGATGCAAATAAAATGACAGTGAATTATTGTTTACCCTTTTGCAACATTAAAATTGTGCAACACCCTTACAATGGTTGCCTACCCTCATTGGTGGAGATTATTGTTACCTTTTTCTTTTTTGAAATGGTATTTTAAATCATATTCTAATTTATAGCATACCTGATGCTAATTTATTATGTCGAGCAAATTTTAACTTATAGGTTACCAGAATGAGCATTTATTTTAAATTGCTGTTAAACATTACATTTAAGCTCTTAAAAATGTCTCAAAATTTATATAAATTAAACAAATACCTGGAATTCAAGCATGCTCTTGTTAATAAATATATTTAGGTTGGTTAGTTAGTCATTAAAAATATTTTAAATGTACTGGATAAATATTTTAATACTTGAAATACTCAGCAAATAAATAATGCAAGTTAACAAAATATTCAACTAAGTTCAAATATAAATTATGCAATGCAATAAAAGTTGTCTCAACAATGAAAGTTAATGTAAATATACTGTCTTTGATATAATGAAACCACCTAATAATTTTATAAATGAATTAATTTTTGGTAGTTTCTTTTTAACTAAATTTTGTTTCAAAAAAACACAACTGCTTGTAAGTTTTTATTCTACACTAAAAATGCTGTATCTAAAAATGATGTATCTGAGCCTGAACATGTCACATTTTAATTTCTTAACATAAAAGATCGGCATTAAAATAAAATAAAAATCCAGGAACAACTTTCAATCTAGCTAAAATATATTATCACACTTTAATCCAGACTGACAGAATTGACAACCGAACTGAGCCTTACATCAAGCTATCTGCAAAGGAGAAGTCAAAATCCATCCTGTGAAATAACAGCAGCCCCTTCAAGTGCTGTAATTCAAAGCGACACTTATGTCTCATGATACTTGTCCTGAGGACATGGTGACTGCCACCTTGATTTAGAGCACTACTAGCTTCCAGACTATATTCATAAGATAGGAACTAGGGAAACCAAAATGGCGCATCTTATTTCTCCGGATCTGCATAGCATCTGGCTATGACGCACACGTTTGAGAGAAAATAAAGCCAGTAATTTTCTTCAAAATGCAACAAACAAAAATATTCACTAATCCACCTAAATATTGTTGAAGCTATCCATGAGAGACTCGACAACACTTAGGGTTAACGCACTAAAAAACCTTCGAACACACTTGTTTTTCTACTTAAAAAACAGAGAAATTAAGCTAAAACGCTGCCATTTTTAAGTGTTTGAAGACTTAAATCGAGGCTGGTGGTGCACACCGCAAAAAAGTAAAATAAAGTGTATGGGCGGTATGACACAACAGCATGGCGCAAACGCATAGCGTCTCTTTATGTTGACACGTCTGGACTGAGCTTTGAGCTCTGAATTTTCAAAAATTATATTTCACATTTTAAGAACTCGTTATACATAATGCTATCTAAAACCATGAAAAGCATCGTAATCAGTTATGTCCATAATAATCCAACACAATCATCTTAAGGATCACATGGATAGTTTCATTTCATATTGAAGAGAAAAGAAAGAGGCGGTGAAATGAGACAACCCAGACAGACCTGAAATGCATGTCGTCCCAGTTTCCCCCGCCCACCTCTTCCCTCCCCTTCTCAGCCACAGCAGCAAATCAGCGCTTTATGCAGTGAGGCAGGCAGGTTGTGTAGGGGGCTGCACAGTGCAGCATGTGAGGCATGCACCACTCCATGCATCCAGACGCAGTGGCAAACTAGGACACTCTATCAGCAGGCCAAAGACCCTTCATTCTTTCCCCTTCATTCTACACCAGCCTACTTTAAAATGTACACACATAGACACACTCATGTATACATGTGTTCATACACTTACACACTGAGATGAAATGATTTAAAAGTCGGTGAATGAACTTGGCAACCCTTACACAGTAAATTACTGAACCAAGCGAATTGTTTTAGTGAAGAAATTTTTCTGACAGAGGCAACTAAATTTAAATCATATTTTATCAAGGGTATTATGATGTTAAAACTCTTTAAAAAAATTTGATACGGTTTAGAGCAAGAGGAGATGCAGAAAGAATACCATTAAGCTGATTTTGACATTCCTAAGATAGGAAAAACAATAAAACTAAGAGGAATAAATGGTCCAACACATCATTAAACTTGTACCAAAAGAGATAACTTAATCTTTTCAATGCTACAAAAATCATTCCAATCCTGTTTCCAAAATTTACTATGTCTAAGAAAGAGTGTTGAAGACTCGAGCGTCTATTTCTGGGTTTGCCAATCCTTTAATGAAACTACCTTACAAATTTGACCTAAATGTTTCCATGTACATGTTCCTTGTTGTCAAAAAGCCATGTGAATGTCTATGTGTTTACAGCTAATTGTGGTCATGTCATTTAGCCCCTACCTGAATTTTGTTAGCTCCTGGGACATCCAGAGAAAGGAAATACTGTATTGGCCTAGCCATCCATGATTAGTACAGTTAGAAACTACTCAATAGAGTAAAATCCTTGGTAAAAATTTAAAGCTACCACCACACTTAGCACTGATAACACAGGCAAGCCAGACATGCAGCTAGTCTTCATGTGTGGCTTTGATCTTTAGTTTTTTTTTTTTACCCTCCCCTTTTACAAGCCTATTTCAGACAGACTGGTGGCCTATAGACCCAGTCCCCCACTCACCACAGTGGCTGTCTGTGTGCCTGCTCTGTCTGGGTCATTGATCTGTCTTTTTAAGTGGGGGAGGGGGAGGGGAATTCTCACCATAAAATAAGACTACTAACTGGTTGGAAGATTACACTGATTACATGGCACAATAACAAAAAGAAGCACTGGAAGTCAACAAGGATTAAACAGGCTACACTTAGATTTATCATCCTCCTGTACAGCACATCAGATGGAGCTACACAGCCCAATCTAAGTTAACCACAGAAAGGAGTTGCCTGCTAAATACAGCTGCCAATAAAGCAAGTAACATGCAAGAATAAAGAAGACATGGAGAAGGGAGAGGTGCAATGGTGCACACCACATGCACAGTATTGCATCTAGACAAGGCCAGATCCCTACTGACATAAATACAGGCAAAAAAGTAGGACCTAAGTTCTTTCTCTCCTGCTAGTTGATTTCCTCACTCTACTCCAACCAAACAAAAAAGAGGAAAAAAAGATTATATTTAAAATCAAATCCACCAGGTGGCGGGACAAGTCTGCTTTATGCATGTGATGTATGACTTAAACATAGTACACCGTTTACACACACATACCCCCACGAACTAAATGCAGTGTATGAGAATAGAAATTAAATGCTTAAGACAGGTGAGGCATGTCCTGAAATGCAGTCAGAAGTAGGTCAGTGCACAGACATGAGTTGGGATATCTACAAACATTATTCAGATTTCTTAAGTGCAAGTGATATAAATGTTTTTGTATTCCTCAATAAATACTGTAAAGAATATAAAACATTATCATGATTTTCTCATTGAAGCAATATATAAGGACTTATTTTAAAATAAGTGACACCATAATAAAAATTAACTCTAAATGAATTTAAAAAACTAACATAATAGGCCCATACAAAAATTTGATTTAAAAAAAAAATAATAATAATTTTAAACTCCCTATAATTTATGTATAAATACAAACTGTAGCAATCCTTTCACACCGAGTAACCTGATATTAAAAGCCACTAGAAAAAAATTGTTGGAAACTAAGTACAAATAGTCCTACTTATAGGACAAAATAACCTGTACATTTCAAATTTCAGTAAAGAAATCCTTACATCAACTAGCATAAATAAGGAACATTACAACTAATCGGAAGAGTCAATCGTGAAGCCTGTGGGATAAATTGTTAAGGAAAATAATTTTACTAGGCCTAATGCTAATTTCTGAATTAAGTCTTCTTGATAGACCTTATTCGCCTGTAATATGTAGGCCTATAACTATAATATATGGAACGTTTCTGTAAAATATATTTGTTAATGTAGGTCGACTGTTCATGAAAGAGACAGAAAAGTCATCTTTTACCATTTGTCTGTTTAGCGCCTTTTTTTAAAGGTGTCCAAATATTAATAGTCCATAAAAATATTGTAGAAGTCAGATAAATGGTATGCCTGATTTTAAAAGATAATATCTCACGAATTATGCCTATGGCCAGCCTTACGCAATTAAAATGTTTTGGTACACCCCCACCAAACATATTTAACTTTACTCCTCTTTACTATTACATTCCAAGAAATTCAGCAAACAATTGACTTTTTAAACATACTAAAACAAAGCAAAACTTGTTGGGTGTGGAAAAAAAAGTCTAATAATGCCAAAACTTCTTTCTTGTAGACAGGTAAGCTTTAAGATTTTGATAAAATAACATCATGTGGCAGGTCATTTAATATGAAAATCCCTCAATTTTGTGGGCACTTAAATATTAAATTAAGCAATTTAAGATAAATTTTTTTCCTATGTGTATAATTGTGGTGCCCCCTTTCTACCAGTATCCTAAGCATGTGCTTTTTATTGCTTATTTGTTAATCTGGGCCTACCTATATTCTTAAGTCAAAAGGTGAATTCGTACTATATTTATGTTTATTACCAGAATGCCAACTTCAAAAAGAAGATAACTAGTCAAATGTCTTTTTGTCGAAAGTGAAAAGGGTTGTTTTTTTTAAATGATGACTCCTCCCCATTCCCTCTTGTCTTTTAAACAACTATTATTAACTTATTAATAATTTAATATATTAAATAATATTATAATAATATTAATTATTATTCATTTCTAACCGCAATGAGTGACAATGGCAATACAAATATTATTGGTAATATTCATACATAATACATACTATACTATTTTGAACTAATACTAATAACTATTAACCTCATTCAATTATTCAAATCAAACATATTTTTATTGGTTGGACACTGTCTACACTGAATTATTAGGTCACTATTGTTATTATGGATGAAATGGATTTTTTTTTAAAAAATTGATTTTAATGAATGACTGACGAATAAGACATTTAGACATTTGTTATAACTATAGACTATATTATTTATATATAACTATAACCTTAACCAAGGTGGCAGCCACAGAAAAAAACGCGGTGCTATCTCTCCAAATTTACCACCCGACCGAGTGTGCGCCTTGGCCCTGGCCTCACTACTGAACTTACTACTGCCTCAGGAGAAAAGCTCAGTCAGACAAGTCTCAAGTTTAACTAAGATAGTTTTTAATACCAAAAAAATATTTTAAGACAACTTTGTGTTGATCAGTAAGCATTAATAATACCTGGGAGACATCCTTGGGATGTTCAAACTTCTCGGCGTTTCTTAATTTGTTTCATTTCAACTTCAATAAAATCGCTGGAAGAGGAGAAAATTCTGCATTTCGAGTCAGAGAGCAAAAGAAGAAAAACATAATAACCGGAAGCACCAAACAGCACCTACGCACAACGGTTGATATTCGCACGCAGTGCGTACGAAAAAGAGCCAACAATATTAACATACACGCCAACTGTTGTTTTTAATTATATTAATAAGACACGAACAAATTGTGTCAATAGAACAATATGAGTTAGCTTTAAAGCGTGTATGTTAATATTGTTGGCTCTTTTTCGTACGCACTGCGTGCGAATATCAACCGTTGTAAAAATTTTACAGGAAATAAAGATTTAATTTTTTTTTTTTGAAAGTTATTAATTAAATCTATTTGTAAGGGTAACGAGTTAAAATTTTGCATGTTAACCAATCAGAATCAGGCTCGATGAAATGTGTTGTAAATAATGAAATGCTATTTACAGGCTAATTAATATCCGAGTTGAACGTGAACGTGGTTATTTAAAATAAAAAAAAAATTAAAAGCCGAATACAGCTTTTGTTCTGTAAGTCAACTTACAATTTCATTATGTATCATGTAGGCCTAATAAACATTAATCATCTTGTGACTTTCGTAAGTTTTTACATATTACGTAAATCGTTTGAATTCAAAATGCCTCGGCACTGGTTAACGCCAGTTAAAATTAATTTTGAAAATGTTTAAAATAACTAATAACTAATGTATTCGAAACTCAACACAAATCGTTCTAGGACAAGGCTGAAGTTCAGTGGACAAGGCGGCGAGCTCATTCTGACAATGGATACACTCACGGGCGTCCCCAGACAGATAGGAATTGAAATTATGATTTATGTCATTTTTAAGAAAGCTTTATCAACATGTTATGTCTACCATAATGGCTGTTTGATGAGACGAGGTGGAGGATAAATTTCTGCTAGCTTATTATGAATAATTATTTTTCTTTATTAAAACAATGAATTCACAGAACTGACATTTAACATAGGATCACAATATTTAAACGCATAGCCGGCATAGAAATGACCTGTGCATTTATCCTGGAAAGTGTGATAAAACTGGCATTCGGGAATTACGAAAATGCATACGTGATGTGTATTGATATTTTCTTGAACTGTAAGGAGGAAAAAAAAAAGACAACATAAATTTAAACTTATTTTTTTAAAGCACTTTTTTTATTATTTAAAAAAAAATCATTTAAACGGCACTTTTTTAAGGGTATTTTAAAGTCATAGATACAGTTACTATGG